GGCAGTGTTTGAGCTTGTAAACCACCACCTACAGCTGACCCTGCCAGCTTCGCCAGCCTTAGCATTGCTTGGAATCCAGGATAATGAGCAAAGGCCCCGATACACTAAGCGTGATCTCTTACTTATTCTACTATGCCAAAAAATTGGAATACATTGAAATGCATCCTCCCCCCTTTCCATAGACTCCTGAGAAAAAGCTATCAATGATGTTCTTCCTATGTACAATATTGACGTATATTAATAGGAACTGCCCACTGAAATTTGATGGGGTGTGGCAGCCGTGGCTGGACCATTGAACATGCCTATCTTGTGGATAATTATCCTGGTACAGGTCTGGGCATGGCTGTGAACCCTCCTCGCTAGCCTTTAGGCTGCATGGGAATATTACTGTATCTTTACATATGTTTACCCTTTGCTCTTATACTATATTGTATTGGACCACCTATGTGTGGCTCTGGTTGTATCAGCTATCTTTGTTTTAATCTTTTCAAATGTCTGTGTACCGTTGTTATTCTTTTTTTAATAAAGGAACATTTTGGTTGTTAAAGAGTGTGGAACAAAAAAATAGGTCAATTATAGCATAACCACTATCGCCCTATCCGGTTTCTCTCAAAGTGATAGAGAAGCCATGCAGGACTGTCCATTTGTGTCTATTCCCCCCTTCTTCTTCAACCCTTCACTGGATGCCCCAATTTTTCTTTTCTGTTTCTTTCTTACTCTACTCATTGGGTATAGCTAATTATGTATGCAGTTTGCGTTACTCTTACTGAACCATACGTTATTCTCTCTATTCACATTGATCAATTTTCAATGTCATTTTGGTCTAAACGATTTATTACTCTATGCTATGTATGGCTCCAGGATACGCTGTCTACAATGCTATATGTCACGCATTTGTAAATCTTACTTTTTTTTTTTTTTTTAAACTTTTCTTAAACTCAGTAAAATGTATTGCACAAGAAAAAGCTTGAAAAGGAAATAATACAGCCACCACATCAAAGATCTGATAAGCTGCAATATAATACATTTATTTTTGGGTTTATATATGTATAATAATAATATATGCTTTAACCATACATAGGAAGTATGTAAAACAGTAAAAATGTTATCTGTTACTACTAACATTGGGATCCTTTTCTACATTTAAAAAGGCAGACTTTTTTTAATAATGTGGGAAAAATTGTAGATCAAAATGGCAGAAACCCTCAGTAACGGGTCAAGTCTTACCCCCATTCACAACAAAAAGCCAGTACTTTACCATAGGACAACCAGATCTGAATGATTCCCAGGTCAAATGTGGACAATCCTGTTTCTCTGGAAAATATACATCGGTATCCAGTCTTGGATCATACATCCTGGTTAGAGTCTCTAACTGTTTACAAAACACAAATATGTTTTTTTTAAAAAGCAAAGTGAAAATACGAACATTATTAAAACAAAAAATATTAGTTTAACCCCTTGGCGCCGACATCACACAAATATGCTGCCTCACAGAACTGAGCTTTTTTCTATGGGGCTGCATATTTGCGTACCTGTCTTTGTGCTGGGAGATTGCCACACAGTGCTCTCCGAGCACAAAGACCAGGGTGTCACTGAGAGCCCCGGTCCTATTCTACCGCTCAGGACCCAGGATTCGCAATTTTGGGCCTCTGATTGGCTATCGCAGCAATTAGTCACTGTGAACCCCGCCCCCTTTGGTTTTTTGGAGGAGAGAGATACATTGTATCTCTCTCTCTCCTTGCATAGAAAAAAAAACAACTGTAAAAAAAGATAGATAAATAATTATTAAACAATAAAATAGAAAAAAAAAAAAATACCTAGATCAAGTTTTGATCTAGTTCAGTGCCAGGGTTAGTGTTTGGGTCAAGGTCAAGGTCAAGGTCAAAGTCAAAGGTCAGGATTTTTTTTTTTTTTTTTTTTATTAGTATCAGTGTGTTTTAGGTAATAAAAACAAAAAACAAAATGCGCACTATTGTTTCTGGGCTGTAGAGCAGGTACAAACAACAAATAACATACACATGTATGGTATCACTTCGATCGTCAAAAGCTGGAAAATTTATCTTGGGTTGTTTATGGTGGTAGCTTATGGTAGTAATAAGAAACACACAGCTAAATTAAAAAATATATATTTTTTTACTATTTTGGGCCAGTTTTTCTTTGATAATAAAAAATCAGGAGATATGCATTATTGTTTACCACCAAATGAAAGCCCAATTTGTCCTGAAAAAACGCGGTATAATTCACTTAGATCTAGATATTAAATTAGTTGTGATGATTGATGATGTACGGTCTTACTAACACGTGTCAAAGTTGTAAAATGTTACTTAGGCTGTAAGATTTGTTTTACGCTTAGGCGTGAAGGGGTTAAAATGTGTTTTATTTGTCAGATTATATACTGTATATGTCAAAGATATCAGTTATAAACATTTCTAAATAAATTCAGACTGGACTTACTGATTGTGGAGTGATGCCTGGCATAACATTTGAAGGTAAAATGCTTGTCAAAGCAGGTAATGGCTTTGGTGCACCTAAGGACAGAAGATTATCTGCTTATGTCATGATATAGAATAAAGCCATAAATAATGATAATTAAAAGTACAAAAACACCTAAACAAAACAAACCAGCTATACAAAGCTTTCATTTCTAACACAATTAAAAAAATATTTTTTTTTTATTCTATGGCAGCACACCCCAATGGGTGTTTTTAAATGCTCAACCCTTTTAGATTATGCAGAGTGCCTTTCTATATTTAGTCAGCACTGTCTCTAAATAGAAAGTGTTTAATGTATTTCTCTGAGGAACCTCCTCTGGGAACCTGCTCCGTGTTGTTACATTTGTTTTTTTGTAATTCAAGTGTGTAACTAAAAAATCTGCCACTACTTGTGTTATAAAGCTGAAAGAAAAAAAAAAAAAACTTAAAAAGAAAACCAGAAAATGTTAATTAACCACTTCCCCTCCCACACCAGTTCCCCCCCTAATAACTTCCTCAGGCGAAAAGCTGAAAAAGTCCTGTAGGACCTAACGGGTAAAGGGTGGAGCCTAATGACATCATAATGCTGATTGACATCTACTGCTGATGATCACTGCAGAGGAGATATTACCTTGGAACCTACACTGGTTAAGAATATGGTTGGTTCTTCTGATTGCTGGATGTTTAAATGAATTTAACACACTGCATGCTGATCATTCTATAAGTGTCCTATTTTGCCCTATAGCAGATGTAATAAATACAAGCAGTGAGCACTACTGTTGTGGTCTTTGCTCTCATTTATAAATGACGATTCCTGGAGTGGCTTGAGTGTAACCAGTTACTGCAACTGTGTTTTGCTACATCTGAGCCTGGCTGTGTAAGTTATTAACCCCTTATATTCATCAAACTTGATTATCTTTCAATATTTTTATTGAAAAATTGGTATACGCAGAAAAAGAAGCATTGCCCACCTAAATGGTGAAATGGGGCGAATAAACATATTCATAAAATATATAGGCATGTGAAAAAACATTAGTCGATGATGTTGTAAACAGGAAACACCATCTCCACAGGGTAGCAAATGTTCCATCAGTCAGTAAAGATAGGCAAGTTCCATATAGATTTACCAACAATAAGAAAACCAAAAAAGAAGAAAAAGGATTAAAAATAGAAAAATCGAAAGAAAAGATCCAGGATAAGTAAAAAAAGAAGGGGGGAGAAAGGGAGAGAGAAAGGGTCAGCTGTAGTATTATTAAGTAATAGAAATATATCTGATCCATGGTTTCCACGTCACCTCAAATTTAGAAGTATCATTATTAACAGTGCTCGTAAGTTTATCGTTTATCATTATCCAATTAAGTTTTTGTTTAACCCCGTCTAGTAGAATTAATGATTGTCGCCAACATCTAGCTATGGTAATACGTGCTGCCAGTAAGAGGTAAAGAATTAATTTAGTCGATTTTTTGGGAATGTCAGCGGGTAGCAAATGAAATAAAGCAACTTCTGGTGATCTACTAATATTAATCCCTGTTACCGAATAAATGAAGTTAAACATTTGGATCCAAAATCTATTCACTACCGACATTTCCAAAAGGATATGGAGCATAGTGCCCTCTTGTCTGCAGTGTCGGAAGCAATTAGGTGATACTGATGGATACATTTTAGCAAGGCGTGTAGGGATTACATACCAGCGAAGTAGTGTTTTGTAATTGGATTCGATAAGAGCAGTATTAATAGAAATCTTTGATAGAATATGGGCCGCATTCTGCCAAGTGTCCAGGTCCTCACTGTACGCTATGTAAATCCCTTTCCCATTGAGTCATATAAGATAAGTTAGTGAGTGGATCAACAAGGCAAACATAGATAATGGACAAACGACCCTTCATCATCCCAGTTGCCCCACAGGAGACTTCTAAAGGAGTGAGTGTGTAAGGTTCTATGAGTAATTTGAGTTTACTAGTGATAAAAGATAAAAGTTGATGGTAGCGAAACAATTCCCTGGAAGGCATCTGATACTTTGTCAAAAAGCACTGGAGAGAACGAGGATGAAGTCTATCCAGGAAATCTCCAATACGCAGTAAACCCTTATTCATCCGCCATTGGAATACAGATGGTGATAAGCCAGGTATAAACTCAGGATTACAAAAAACTGGAGCTAATGGTGTATGTGGGGAGCAGAAAGGTTTGCGAGCCCACCATCTATCCCACACCGTTAACGAATAAGACAATGTAGGACAAAGGATAGGATGCAATCGACTGGGGAGCCACATGAGAGCACCTATAGCAGTGATGGCGAACCTATGGCAAGCGTGCCAGAGCTGGCACGCAGAGCCATCTCAGTGGGCACGCCAGGAGGAAGAGAGGAAGAGAACGCGCTCTCCTGCGCACCTCCAGGGGCGCGCACCGGGTGATCTCCGTGATCGCTGTGTCCTGCGGACACAGCTGATCACGTGACATGGTAAAAGGCCAATCACAGCGGCCTTTTACCACGTGATCAGCCGTGTCCAATGACACGCTGATCACCGGGAAATGCAAATGCCGGTTCTCGGCTGCACTTTCCTCACGCTGTCAGATCGTGAGGAAAGTACTGCCGAAAACCGGCAGTTGTCAGAGCAGGGATCGGCACCGATCATCAGGGTCACTGATCATCAGTGCCCTGATGATCGGTGCCCACCTGTGCCACACACAAGTTCCGCCCACTTGTGCCCAGCAATGCGCCCACCTATGCCCAGCAGTGCGCCCACCTGTGCCCAGCAATGCACCGTGTGCCCAGCAGTGCGCCCACCTGTGCCCAGCAATGCGCCCACCTATGCCCAGCAGTGCGCCCACCTGTGCCCAGCAATGCACCCACCTGTGCCCAACAGTGCGCCCACCTGTGCCCAGCAATGCACCCACCAGTGCCCACCTGTGCCGCCCACCTGTGCCACCCACCAGTGCCCATCAGTGCAGCCCAGCAGTGCTGCCAGTCAGTGCCACCAGTCAGTGCCCAGCGGTTGTGCCAGTCAGTGCCCAGCAGTGATGTCAGTCAGTGCCACCTATCAGGGCTGTCTATCAGTACCCATTATCAGTGTCGCCTATCAGTGCCACCTATCTGTGACACCTCATTAGTGCTGCCCATCAGTGCCACCCATCAATGATGCCCACAGTGCCGTCTGTTGGTTGGTGCTGTCTGTGCCGCTTATCAGTGCCCATCATTTCCTGCATATCAGTGCATCATCAGAGCCTCCTCATCAATGCTCACCAGTGCCGCCCCATCAGTGCTACCTATCTGTGCCGCCTCATCAATGCCCATCAGTGCTGCCTATCAGTGCAGCCTCACCAATGCACATCAAAGAAGAAATATTACCTGTTTGCAAAATTTTAGAATAGAAGCAAAGGAAACCTTTTATGTTTTTAATTTTTTGCTCTTTTTTCATTTATAGTGCAAAAAATAAAACACCCAGTGGTGATTAAATACCACCAAAAAAAGCTCTATTTGTGTGAAAAAATGATAAAAATTGCATATGGTTACAGTGTTGCATGACCGCACAATTGTCTTTGTTAAGTGCAACAGCACTGAAAGCTGAAAATTGTCCTGGGCAGGAAGGGGGTAGAAGTGCCCGGTAGGCAAGTGATTAATTCCAGTGTTGGCACTTTGAAATAAAAAAGTTGGTTTTGTGTTGCAGTTTGGGCACTCGGGCTCAAAAAGGTTCACTATCACTGACCTATAGCGTAAGGTTGGCAAGATAAGGCCTTAATGCCAACCCATTGGGGGACGTAACCCCTGGCGGTAGTGCAAGATATTTGTGCTATTTGAGCCGCCTGAAAGTAGATCAAGAGATTAGGAAGTCCCAAACCGCCATGCTTTTTTAGGGAAAATAGAGTTGACTTGTTAACCCTAGGACATTTTCCTTTCCAGATGAATCTAGAGATTGCTGCTTGTAGTAGTAACAGTTCCCGTTTGGGAACCATGATCGGGAACGTCCTAAAGTAGTACAATAGTCTTGGTAAAAAGGTCATCTTAACAGAGCTAATTCTACCAAACCAGGATAGTGGAAGATCCTCCCAGTCTAGTAAGTCAGATTTGAGTCGTTTGAAGAGCGGGGGATAATTAGTCTTATATACTGTAACGATGAAATAGAGTTCATGAGGTGAATCCAAAAATAAGGGAGAGAACGAGAGGCCAACTGGAAATCAAAATTGTCCTGGAGGTAATGAACTTCCGAGTCAGGTAAGGAGATATTTAAAGCAATTGTTTTAAAGGAATTAGGAGTAAGACCAGAGGCCTCAGAGAAACGATGAAACAGGTGGAGGAGACCAGGTAAAGACATTTGAGGATTAGATATATACATAAAGGACATCATCAGCAAATAAGGCACATTTATGGTCTCGTTGACTGCAGCGGATGCCCGAGATAGTGGGATCAGAGCGGATGGCAATCGCCAGTGGTTCCATTGCCAAAGCAAATAGTAGTGGAGAAAGAGGGCATCCCTGTCTAGTACCTCGCTCTATTGAAAGGGAGGCTGATTTGTATCTGCGAATGGAGACTAGAGCTGAAGGGTTAGAATATAGGGCCCATAGTAATGTCATGAAACAAGGGCCAAACCCTAACCTACCCAACATCTGAAATAGGTAGTCCCAAGATAAACTGTCAAACGCTTTATGAATATCTAGTGATAGCAGTAAGACTTCCCTCTGTGAGGATTTGTCCCAACTGGATTGTACGGCTGACAGCAGGGCCAAAGTCCAACGAATTTGGTCCGATGTTTGTCGACTGCTGATGAATCCTGACTGATCATCATGAATATAAAGGGCCAAAAATTTGTGGAGGCGTAAAGCCAGGATTTTAGTAAGAATCTTTAGATCACAATTAATTAAGGAGATAGGGCGATAATTAGAGACTATAGTAGCATCCTTGTGGGGTTTGGGAATAACACTGATGAACGCCTTGTTTTCATCAGGAGACACAAGTTCCCCATCCCGTAGATAATTAAAATAATGGGCCATATGTGGAATCAGGATATCGGGAAAAACTTTATAGTAGTTATGAGAAAGACCATCTGGTCCCGGGGATTTATGAGGGCAAGAGTTTTCAAGGCACTCCGAATCTCCTCGCACGAGATAGGCCGTTCCATCAACTCCCTATGGGCCTCCTGAAGAGAGAGAAGAGCAACAGAGCTCAAAAAGGTGTTTGGAGACGAAGAAACATCCCCCTGAGGTGAGCGATATAGGTCAGTGTAAAAAGAATGACATTTTTGGAGAATCTTACTAGGATCTTGAGACAAAGTGCCGTTATTCAATCTGAGTTTAGGGAGAGCCATTTGGGAATGTCTTGCGTGCCAATAAAGTGCCCGGTCTATCCCTCCAAGTGAAGAATTTATGGTTAGACCATCGTAGCTGTTTTGTCAGCAGTGGTAGTAAGACATAGATTAAGTTCCAGTCAGGCTTGATCGAGTTTAAATCAGCAGATCCGGACTGAGATTTTGCTTATGCTGGGCAACCAGGTCAGTATATATTTGAGTTTTAGTGGAGAGTAGGTCATTTCGGGCTTTTTTAAGTCATGAGGAGAGTTTAATAATAAACCCCCTAACCAAGGCCTTATGGGCTGCCCAATTAATAGCCGGGTTCGTATCCTCTGCTTTATTGAGTTCAAAGTAGATGTGAGATGTCCTGACAATATGAGGCGTTACCCAAAATAGATTCATTAAAGCCGCCAGTAATAAGCAGTCTTACCAAGAGACCAGGATGACAATGTTTATAGAAATCGGGTCATGGTCAGACCAAGGCGTAGAGAGGATTTTAGCAGTGAGCAGTCTGGGGAGTGAGTGTGTATGAAGGAATATATGTTCGATGCGAGAATAACAATTATGAGCCCTAGAATAATGGGAATAATCTCGTGAAGTTGGGTTAGCTTCTCTCCAAGCATCGACAAAGTCATAACGATACAGTAGCTGGGCAAACTTACAGCTCTTTCTGGAAGGAGGCTGAAGCATGGCGCGGTTCGGGAACGATCCAAATCTGATCCAATGCTAAATTAGAGTCAACAGCCAAAATAACATTGCCTTCGAATTCTGAGGCCATGGAGCTCAAACAAGGATTGAAAAAATTCCACCTGATTGGTATTATTATTATTATTATTATTACTACGAGTTTATATAGCGCCAAAGGGTTTGCTCAGCGCTGTACAATAGGGGGGGACAATACATGGCACAGTACAACAAAGACAGACAGCGTACGAGGGGTAAGAGGGCCCTACTCTTACGAGCTTACAATCTAGGAGGGAGGGGGTAAAGGTACAGTAGGAAGTGGCTGGGGGGGATGAAGTGTCTTGTAGGAGGATGAGGGAGGATGGCCCGTTAGGTGAGGGTGGGGTAGGCTTCCCTGAAGAGATGGGTTTTGAGGGAGCGCCTGAATGTGAATAGAGAAGGCGACAGTCTGATGGATTGGGGCAGTGAGTTCCAGAGGATGGGGGAGGACCTGGAGAAGTCCTGCAGTCGTGCATGGGAGGAGGAGACCAGGGAGCAGGATAGAAGGAGGTCCTGTGAGGAGCGAAGGGTACGGGTAGGGTGGTACCTGGTGATCAGATTGGTGAGGTAGTCAGGGGCAGTGTTGTTCGTGAACGGCTTTGTAGGTCAGGGTTAAGGAGTTTAAATTTGATGCGTTTTGGGCAATCGGGAGCAGTGGAGGGAGAGGCAGAGGGGGGTGGCAGAGGTGGAGCGGGTGGTAAGGTGGATGAGGTCTGGCAGCTGAGTTCAGGGATGGTCTGGAGCGGGGAGAGCCTGCACTTGGGTAGGCCAGTGAGGAGGGAGTTGCAGTAGTCAAGGCGTGAGATGATGAGGGAGTGTACTAGAAGTTTGTGGTGTCTGGGGTGAGGAAGGAGCGGATCTTGGCAATGTTGCGAAGATGGAGCCTGCATGTGTTTGTGATGTGATTTGACATGCGGTTGGAGGGAGAGGTTCGCGTCAAGAATGACGCCAAGGACTTTGGCTTGCGGGGCGGGAAGTGATTAGTGGAGTTGTTGGTGATGATGGATAGGATGGGGGGGGGGGGTGTGGGCAGGGGGAAAGACGAGAAGCTCGGTTTTGGAGAGGTTAATCTTGAGGAAATGTAGCGACATCCAGTCTGAGATGTCATTTAGGAGGTGAGTGATGTGAGGGGCGGAGATAGTGGGGGTGAGGTGAGGGGTGGAGAGGTAGATTTGGGTGTCGTCAGCATAGAGGTGATAGTTGAAGCCGTGAGATTGTATGAGTTTGCCCAGGGAGGAGGTGTAGATGGAGAAGAGAAGGGGTCCAAGGACAGAGCCTTGGGGGACCCCAACAGAGAGGGGGAGGGAGGGGGGAGGTGGCACCATTGTAGGTGACACTGAAGGAGCGTCGGGATAGGTAGGATGAGAACCAAGAGAGAGCAGCATCTCCGATGCCAAGGGAGAGTAGTTTATTAAGAAGGAGGGGGTGGTCAACTGTGTCGAAGGCCGCAGAGAGGTCCAGGAGAAGGAGGACAGAGTAGTCGCCCTTGGCTTTGGCGTTGAGTAGGTCGTTAGTGATTTTGAGGAGGGCGGTTTCAGTGGAGTGTAGGGGACGGAAGCCGGGACTGTAGAGGGTCAAGGAGGTTATTGTCAGTAAGGTGGGAGCTTAGGCAATCGTAGACTAAGCGTTCAAGGAGCTTGGAGGTGAGTGGCAGCAGGGAGATGGGTCTGAGGTTGTTGGGGTCCGCGGGATCCAGGGAGGGCTTTTGAGGATGGGGGTGATATGCGCGTGCTTTAGGGGGGAGGGGAATACGCCAGTAGAGAGGGAGAGATTGAAGATGTGGGTGAGGGAGCGGATGAGGGAAGAGGGGGGTGACCGGAGGAGTTGAGAGGGGATAGGGTCCAGGGGGCAGGTAGTGAGGCGGGCTTTTGAGAGGACTTTGGCGACTTCCTCAGTAGTG